GTGAATTGTAAAAAAAAAAAAAAAAAAAACACCCTCCCCCACCTCACATCTCTTGCGCGGTAATAAGTAAGGGGACGAAATATTGGATGTTCGGCGCATTCTTTTGGGAAAGTATGCTTGAATTTGAAATATTCGATATTCACAATATTTTACAATTTTACATCGTCGTCAAAATTATTGCGATATTATCGCTAATATTCGATATATTGCCCAGCCCTACTCCGCATATAACTTGCATTTTGTGGTTATATACTTATCTGTCAAATGTTAGAAAGTCTAGAAAGATATAATACTTATATGTAAATTCATTTTAAAACAAATTAAATAACTTTACATTTTGATAGATGGATAAACATAAACAACAAGATTTAAGTGTGTGAATTAATGAAAGCATTAATTTTATTTATTTTTGATTTTGGCAGATCTGCTCCTCCAACCACACAGGAGTTCATCAACAGTTCAGCTCCTCCCACAACAGTGAATGAAAAGAGTTTATGAAAGAAAGCTGAAAACATGACTGATCCAGAACCCTGCGGAATAAAACTGGAAGATGCTGAAGAACAAATAGGTTGGTGTATATTCTTCATTCTTCACTATGTTTATAAAACTTCAAGCAGTTACTTGGCGTACTGGCACTTGTGGTTAAAGGCATTAACAGTACATAAGTACACTGAAGCTAAGCAGGGTTGAGCCTGGTCAGTACCTGTATGGGAGACCTCCTGGGAAAAATTAGGTTGCTGCTGGAAGAGGTGTGAGTAGTGAGGCCAGCAGGGGGTTCTCACCCTGTGGTCTGTGTGGGTCCTAATGCCCCAGTGTAGTGACGGGGACACTATATTGACAAAAAGCAAAAAAGCTCGTTAAACGGAGATCCTGACTCTCTGTGGTCATTAAAAATCTCAGGATGTCCTTCGAAAAAGAGTAGGGGTGTAACCCCGGCATCCTGGCCAAATTCGACCATTGGCCTCTGATCATCATGGCCTCCTAACCATCCCCATATCTGCTGATTGGTTTCATCACTCTGTCTCCTCTCCACCAATAAGCTGGTGTGTGGTGGGCGTTCTGGTGGGCGTATCCTTCACTTTTTACGCGTACACAAGGGACAGCGTACAGTGTGTATGACCCGAATTTCGTCATCACAATAGTACGCGCATACTGTGCATACGTGCACCACCTGATTTTTGTAACTGTGCGTACTTTCGTACAAAGTACGCACAGTTACAAAAATCAGGTGGTGCACGTATGCACAGTATGCGCGTACTATTGTGATGACGAAAGGTCACATGCGCATTGAAGTTATTTTGCAGTAATCAGATGTTCTACAAGGTGGCAACACAGGCTGTTTTTTCAAAGTAGAAAACAAAACAGAGACGGAACAGCAACAACAAAATAGCAGAGACTGCAACAACAACAGACGCTCACATTGACAAGTGCTTGGGAGTGAGAGGGTATGAGACAGCCCAGCTTTGGTTAAAAAGAGTTCAAAAATATTTGTTATCGGTCATAAATTATAGCGGAAAAATAGAGCAGACACTGGAGATGGATGAAGCTTTCTTGAGCGCATGTGTCGACCATCTGCGTTCGCACACAACATCAAATAGAGTATACTTTGAAAGGCTACGCGTTCAACTGTACGCATACGCTAGGTGGTCTATTTGAGGGTTCCACGGAGGACTTTGCTAAAAAACACTACTGTTATTGACAGCTTCTGTGCAGAGAAATAGTTGGACACCATGAAGAACTCTGCCCCCTCCAGCCAAAAGAGCCAGGTGATCATAAGCGGAGCGTGTGTAAGGCTTAGCCTTCCCCTAGCCATGGGGACTTGGGGCAAAAATGCCAGCAAACTGAACAAAAATGCTCCTGCACAATTGACCCTTTGCAAACAGCTTGATTGACCGGTGATCTGACCAATCATAATGCCGATTTCACCATTTTGTCCGACAAACAAATCAGACAGGAGCATAGATTAACTTCGGTAGACTTAAAGAAAGTCCCTTTGGCTTAAACTTGAAAAATTGTGTGTATGACGTCTGTCCGCGGTTGAAATAAAATATGTTCTGATGTTCGTTCATGTTTTTTTTCATACTCAAAGTAAAGAAGAAAAGACGATCGGTTCACGTGTCGATTGATCTAATAAGGCAATACAGTGATCTGTCAAGACACAATAAAGAGCCACAAAACCGTAATTGTTGTTTGAATTTCTTTAAAAAGGACAACATTTTAAAGCTGAAACCTTGTTTCATACCAAAAGTAACCTTCTCTGTCTATAAAAAACACACTTACAGTCTGTGAGTCAGAACAGCCGGCATACAGTCCTCCATAAAATGTGCTGCACACATCTCAATATTTGGGTTGAACTGTTCTGGAACAGTGTTGTAAATACAGCTTAACCACTGATTTCTAGTCCTGTCCTCTTTTGGAAGGCCAAACAAAGTAGTTTCGCTTTCACAATGAAACACACGGTGGGCTAGAGTGAGCGGCGGCCGGAGGCCTAGAGTGAGGAATGGCCGGCGGCCTAGAGTGAGCGGAGCGGGCTTGAGAACGGCCAGCGGGCTTGCGGCAACCACATGTGACGACCCCGGGCTGGACTCCGCTTCGTCCACGGTTTGGAAAGGCATTCCAAGTAGTTTCGCTTTCACAATGAAACACACGGTGGGCTAGAGTGAGCGGCGGCCGGAGGCCTAGAGTGAGGAATGACCGGCGGCCTAGAGTGAGCGGAGCGGGCTTGAGAACGGCCAGCGGGCTTGCGGCACGTTATCAAGTTATCGCCCAGTCACGGCGCCTTTTAACTGCTGATTTGGATCCAGCAATGTTTCATTTACAAATTAAGCACTGCCCCACAGGCAGCAGCGATTTGAGCTTTTACAGTCTCTCCTTCTTCATTACGTTTCCTACTGTGTTAACAGAAAAATGTCAAACGAATGTAGTATTTTGACAAGACGAATAAAAAGCTAATAGGCTATTTTTGTACAACCTACATTTTTATTATTTTTCTCTCTGCTACACTTTTTCCCTATTGTGTTGTCAATGTTAAACGAATTGTATCCTGACAAGACGAATAAAAATAAGAAATACAATTTTTGTACCTTTTTATTTTCTCTGACACTTTTTTTCCTACTGTGTGCATTAAATATTAAACGAATTTTGTGTCTACGGTCGGGTCGGGAAGAAAATTATTCTAAGCGGACAGCGGGTGACCAAAGTGTGAATATATAGCGGGAGTGGGTGGGTGCGGAATAGAACCTTGCGGGAGCGGGACTAAAAAAACAGTCCCGCGCAGACCTCTAGATGGCAGCCTCTGGCTCTAGAACCTTGCGGGAGCGGGACTAAAAAAAACAGTCCCGCGCAGACCTCTAGATGGCAGCCCCTGGCTAATTTCATATTCAAATAGCTCACATCACAGACCATTCTTGGTCGAGAGGGTGTCTTACCAATATACAGTCTCACAGTCTGTTCCATCCTGGAGTTTGTCTATGGTACTTAATAGAGGTGTGACGAGACACTTGTCCCACGAGACAAGGCGAGACACGAGACTGGGTTCACGAGAACGAAACGAGACGAGATTTTTAGACTTTTTTTAAAGAAATCCTCAATGATGAAATATATAGGGGAAAATAGTCTTTTATTCAACTGAAAAACACAAAATGCAAAAAATGTAGGTGCATTTTGAAATCAACTTGTACTTTATGAAATTAAACATATTTTAATACATTTTATGCAGTAATAAACAACATGTAAACAATGCAAAATGTTTTGCCACAAACTCAACTGACAGGCAAGTAATTGTACAAAAATTATAAATAGTATAAATAAAAATAAATAATAAACAACACAAATATCCCTTTAAAGTGGAAGTGAAGCAGTCAGTCATATTTACATTATTTAGTTAACTGATTTCCACTTAAATAACAAAAAAAATAAACACGATTAATGTATCCGCTTAAAAGAATAAAGCAGTGGTTCCCAAACTGGGGGGCAGGGGTGTAGCCATCATTTCAGATCCCGCGACGCACCCTGTTGCTTTGGGTGCCGCCGGGAGTATATAGCTTTAAAAAGCATTTTTATCCTGTCAAAATTTTGATGCATTGAAATTCTATAATTCTTGTTACCAATTTCAATATATATATATATAAAAAAATAAAATAAAAAAAATACTAGCCTAAATAAAAACAAGCTTATACTTAAGACAAGTACACAGACACAAATTACAAAAAATACACCTACTTGAAACACTTAAAGCACGGAATAAGAAATTATATTGTATAAAATAATTGTACAAATAAACTGAATAGTCTTCACTGTATAAATTCAATATACATTCATTCTTATTTATTTTACAAAAGCGATTCGGTCAAGGACAGTGAGTGATTTTCTTTCTAATGTTTGATTAACATCATTGACATAAATTTTAACAGCAGCTAAATTAGGCTGCTTTAGAGGAATAGCTCACCCAAAAATTAAAGGTTAGTTGTTGTTCTAAACCTGTATGAGTTCCCTTCTGTTGACAGTATTTTAATTTTTGGGTGAACTATCCCTTTAAAATCTCATCATATTATGATCTCATATAGCCTACTACTACACACTCATATAGCCTACAATTCTGCCCCACTGCTTAAAATGTGTTTAAATTAAAAGCTTAATCATGCCGCGCAAAACGATTGATAGGCTATTTTTCTACTGGTTTATCTCTCAACCCATAAGTGAATATAATGTAACTCTCACTCAAGTCGGTGTGTGTACAGCGTGGGTTGTGGCCGACAGCAGCCCAAATAAACACCCCTTTTGCATCAAAAACGCCTCGTCCTTGTCTGAGAACGCTACAACTGGTGTCAGAAGTGGGATCCAGACCTGCAGCCTGTGATTCTGTGGATGGAGGCACAGCAGCGACCGCCATGGGAGGAGGTAGCAGTCCTCTCCCCATTCACCAAGGGACTTTGGACCCTTGGTGAAGAGTTCAAATGTCTGCGGCTGATAGAGGGGGTTCTCCAGCGAGCTTGGGTGGTGCCCACAACAGGGGAAAAGAGATGGCAAGTCGTGGTGCCCAGGGACATGCAAGAGGCGGTGTTGAAGGCCATGCATGGTTCTGCTGGGTCTGGACATTTCGGGGTGACAAAGACACTTCGACGTCTGCAGCAGGCCTTCTACTGGGGACGGCTGAGGCGTGATGTGGAGGACTTTTGCAGGCGTTGTGATCTTTGTACAGCACGCAAGGGGCCACAAGGTCAGTCTAAGGCCCAGCTACAGCAGTTCCCGGTGGGGGAGCTGATGCAGAGGGTGGGGGTTGACATTATGGGGCCATTTCCGCGCACCATGCGGGGAAATCGATTTGTTTTGACCGCTATGGATTACTTTACAAAATGGCCTGAGGCCTTTGCATTGCGTGACCAGGAGGCTGAGACAGTTGCCAATGCCTTAGTAGAGGGAATGTTTAGTAGGTTTGGGGTTTCCCAGAGTATCCATAGTGATCAAGGCAGAAACATTGAGTCCAAGGTATACTCTTCTATGTGTGAGCATTTGGGAATCAACAAGACCCGCACCACCCCGCTCCACCCTCAAAGTGATGGACTTGTGGAGCGATTCAACAGGACGCTAGCCGCACAGTTGTCCATCTTAACATCTACTCATCAACACGATTGGGACACACATCTGCCGCTGGTCTTAATGGCATGTCGCTCCGCTATTCAGGACTCTACATCGTGCACACCGGCACTGCTCATGTTCGGTAGGGAAATTAGGACCCCTGCAGAGTTGGCCTTGGGTCGGCCCCCAGATGCTCCACCTGTTCCTGCTGGACCTGAATATGCAAGACAGCTCCAGGACCGCTTGGACTCCGCCCATGCATATGCCAGGAGGTAGCTGTTTTCTGCAGGAATGTGGCAGAAAAGGGCTTATGATCTGCATACCTGAGGATGCGACTTTGGGGTAGGGGAGCTAGTTTGGGTTTACAGCCCAGTGAGGCATATCGGGGCACCGCATAGCCACAGGGCAGCACAGTACTTCCTTCACAGAACACTGAGACTCCAAGAGGGTCGGAGAAGGGAATTGAATCAGCTGATATGGCCAGTAGCAGCCAACAGGTGGCATCGCTGCCTGACATCCCTCAGGGCGATCGTTCACAGGGCTCAGAGGAATCAGCACCCGAAAGCCAAACTCCCACGCTCCTCAGGGGCCGTCCAAAAAGGAGGAGGAGGACCCCAGTCAGATTCAGAGACTTTGTCCTCGGGGTCGAGGACTTCAGTTAGAGGGGGGTAGTGTAACGTGTTCAGAATGTTGTTGTGTTGTGGAAAACAATGTGTTTAATGTTAATGTTGCACTTTATTCCTTTTTGCGTTTGGAACTGTTATTGGATGTTCAAGTGTATAGTGAAAGAGGCTCCACCCCCTGGGGTGTGTGTAAGGGGAAACTGAGAGAAGGGGGTCAGAAGAGTGCCTCGCTGGTACAAGTGCGGTTCTCTCTCAAGTCGGGGTGTGTACGCGTGTGGGTTGCGGCCGACAGCAGCCCAAATAAACACCCCTTTTGCATCAAAAACGCCTCGTCCTTGTCTGAGAACGCTACAATACTTTGTTCAAACACAAAAAGCAATTTACATCCATCAAGTTGTTAACTTAATCAAACTAGCCTAAAATCTGTGGGGACGATGACGCTGTGATTTTATCTGCTCCATGTGCCCGGTCCACTTGCTGTTTCACAACTTCCACTCCATCATCAGCTTTAGTAAAATAACCTGATAGCTGGGGATTTTACTGACTCTCTAACTCGTTTTCCCCTCTCTCCTCATTTTTTTAGAATAGCCCCTCTCTCACTTTCTTTTTAGAATAGTTTACATTTTTACTTGTCGAAGATTGTTCTTTGCATGACCATTTCCAGATTATGCCAGAACGAAGTGAAGAGAGGTGAATGCGGACATTGCAGTGATCACCTGATTGATAAATGGTGCAGGGGTCGTTCAAAAGTAAAAATATAGAATAAATGCATTTGATTTCTTAACCAACTTCAAACGTGACGTTTTAATCTCTAAAGGTAATGCATGGAATATATGGAAAAGCTCCAGTAAATAATAGCGCTAATAAGTGAGGGGCAGGGCTTTGGCAATCGGCGCTACCAATGACCAGTCAATCTTCTCCCCAGCCAATCACGGGCCCCCTCCTTGTCCGGGCCCCGGGGCTTCAGCCCCGCCTAGCCCAATGATTAATGTGGCCCTGGTGCCATGTACTTAAAGCAGATGATGCATATACATAAGATTCACAAATACTGAAATGACGTGTCTCTCACATACACTCTAAAAACGGCTGGGTTAAAAACAACCCAATTTGGGTTATTTTGGCAACCCAGCGCTGGGTCAAAAAGTGACAAACCCAGCGCTGGGTTGTTTTAACCCAACAAGTTGGGTTATTATGTCTGACCCAGCATGCTGGGTTGCTTTTTTATGGTTTACAATTACTACACTGCTAGGCTAAAATGAACCCAAATCGAGCTAGACATTAAACCTACAAATCTTGTGCATTTTAAAATCATTTTACACACACAGAATGGCTATCAAAAAGTAAATATTTATTTAAAACAAGAGAAAACAGTCAAAAGTAACATGCATGTAAGAAAAAAATGCAGAAAAGTATGGCATTGACAGCTACAGAGTTTATAAATGAAGCATTGAACATTTGTTGAATATAACTTTTAAGATCAAATTTGACTTTTGTGGTAAATTTGATAAATTCTATAAAAATATTATACAAAAACACTATTATACAATAGTTGTACAATTAGTTAATAGTTAAGTTCTTTACAAACTATTCTGGCATGACAGTAAATAAACCACAACATTAACACTGATATTATAACATTTATCAGAAACATATGTGTGAAAGAATGTGAGCATGTGTATGAATGAGTGTAAACTCCATTTCTACTAAACAACAACACAGAACAAGCATTTAACTAACATTGTTTTTTTTACAAATTATACACTTACAGTTTGTTTCATAGTCCATGAATACAGATCAGGCATCGCTGCCAATTTTCATGATCTCTTTAGCATAACTGATGTAGTCATGAAGAAGCCCCATTAGCACAGCAAAGGCATGTGACATCTT